AAGTTGAATCAGCTTGCTTTCAAAGCGCTATTTAAAGGGCCCTTCTTTCTCCGCACTTGCTGTTGTAGTCCTGTTTATGACATCAGCGACGCGGTTTAATCGGGCGCGGCTTAGTCGAGTGCGGTTTTGACGGGTCACGCGTATATGTCTCTTTGGTTAGTAAACCCAGGGAGAATAGGGGTGAAGTTCCGTATGAGCCTCAATTCTTAAAGAATCAAAACCAAATATAATACAGGATAGGAATGCCAAGAACGAGCATGATTCCTTTGTCTTGTTTTGTCGTGTTTGTTCTTGAATCATTTTGTCTTTCGCTTACAGAAGGAAAAGGTGGGGAAGCCGATTGTGGTTTGCAGAACATCTGTGTGTCATCATGTGGGGTTTGAACCTCTTATGGGAATCAACGCCTGATCTGCTCTTTGTCTTTTCCTTTTGATATCATGCAGACAGTCCTTGGCTGGAGCAGCCCGAAGTCCTCCTGCTGCTCCAGACAGTCATTAACATTTTACTACCACCTCGCATTATTAGCACTTCGCGTAGTAAGAACTTCATGCTGGAGAGCTCCCCTGCCCACTGCTCCACCCCGGGAGATGCAGGAAAGGACCTGCGTAAGGAAGGGCTGGCTGAATCCACCAGTCAAGCCGCCTACTTGGGTGAGTGAGAAATTCTATCTGGCAATGAAAATTGAGATCAAGCTGACAGGATGACCAAGTTTTCCTCCCAAAAATAGTCTACTCCAAATCTTGAATGTGCATTGGGTTGTTATCCCTATACTGTTGTTTAATTTTTTTTTGGACTTATTTGTCTCATTTTTTAGCTTTGAAGGTGATCCTTGTTTGTTTTGAGAGGCAGCTTGGTAGCCAATGGTATTGGCTGAGCCTACAAGTCAAGGAAATGGCTTTGCGGAAAGTTGGAGGGCTGGCCCTGTGGGATTTCCTGGATTTCATTGTACGCACTCGAATTCCTATTTTTGTACTTCTTCGACCCTTTATTCAATGCAAGGTAATTCACTCTGCTATTAGTCAGAAAAAATGATATACAGGATTTATTATTGTACCGATAGGGACAAGACATTTCTTTGCGATAAGGTGCTTTTGCAAGCCAAAACCCCCTCAAATTCTGAAATTCAGTTTCAAAAGTATTGGTTTGCAAATTAATATGCCTAAGAGCCGAGGTGGCGCAGTGGTTAAATGCAGCACTGCAGGCTACTTCAGCTGACTGCAGTTCTGCAGTTCGGCGGTTGAAATCTCACCGGCTCAGG